AGGTGGAGAAGGATGGGGGCAGGTTCGGCGTGCCTGCTTCGGGGGGCCACGACGAAACCGGGTTTCCCCCGGCCAGCCCCCGGGCTTCTTTTACGGGGGTGGCGGGGGGAACAACCCCCTGACACTGTCTGCACCTCCACCACAACGTCGCTATCGACGCTAAACTGCAAATGGAGTACCGCCCAGACGCAGAAGCCGATTACGTTAATCAGGAGACGATTGACAGGGAAAGGAAGACGGCAGAAGAATGGCAAACGGAGATGGTGCCAGACCAGGTGGTGGTGTACCGCCTGCCGGGAGAGAGACTCGGTCTGGGGCTCAAGTTTGACGGCGGTATGGGAGCCCGGGAGTGCGTGAGACGACTTTTCATACAGAGTGTGGCTCCGGACTCGCCGGCCGCACGCGCTGCCGTCCCGTGGGGTGAGTTACAGCCGGGTGACCAGATCCTTAATATCGAGGGGTGCGCTGTGTCGTCTATGACCAGAGTGCAGTGCGTCTCCTTTCTCAAGGATGCTGCTATGAAAATCACAATCGGTGTACTTAAGGGAAATGGACAACTTCCAGATTTGGACACGTGTAATTCAGAGGCTCCAGGGTACGTAAAACAGGAGGGACAAGAAGTTGAGGGAGCAGACGACAGCGAGGATTCCACACGCCCCCCACCACTAATTGTTGGGGAGATGAGGAAACGAGTCCCTCCTCCACCGTTACCCCCTAGGGCGCGGCCTAGGAAGTCTCCTGCTCGCCCTCCTAAGGACCCATTACCCATACCCCCGCCGCCAAGTGCTTTTCAGGACCTGGATGATGTACTAGGAGGGAAATATACCAGAGGCAGTTACTCAGCTTGTGGAACTAATGAGGACAAAGAGAATTCCATACACGGGTGGCGAGAATTTGTTATATCTCGCCGCAATCGTCCTGGTGACCTGGAGGAGCTTCTAGAGGATCTTGAGTTTCACCTTCCTAGGACGTGGAATACAAAGAGATTGGAAGAGTCGATGGATGGGGGTATGCCTCCTCGTCCTACCTTCTACTTGGATCTTGTTGGAGAGGAAGATGCAATGGGTCCATGTGAGAGTGAGAGTGATGAGACGAGCAGCTCGGTATCGACTGTGATTGATAGACTTTCACTATCGTCTTCCACTACTGTGTCTAGAAATTCCTCATTTAATGCTTCTGCTGACGCATCTAGATTTGACTTAGCTCGTGCACTCAGTCCCTTTGAACAACTGGAGAAGGAGTTTGAGTCGGAAACGCGGGCAGAGCTACAACAAAAGCAGCAGCAACAGCAACAACCACAACAGCAAACACCTGCAACAGCTCCACGGGATGAGGTAACACCAGCACCACCAATAGATCGCAGTACTAAACCCATGGCAATGGAAACCCCAACTCCTGAGGTCGAAGTGCACTCTGTTGTCTCACGCAAATCATCATCAAAGCTCAAAATGCGCCCTTCCATTAAATCATTCTCCTTCAGTCTCAAGGGACGTCCATTTTCTTGGCAACAAGGAAAAGCTGCTAGTGAACGGGTCGAGCGAGGAGTTGGGCGTACTGACACATTTTTGTCTATTAAAAAGCCTGGAAAAAGGCCTGCGCCTCCTCCACCTCCTCGTTCCATAGATTCTGGGACTCGTCAGAGTGAGTCTCCTCTCACTGTCACCTCCAACATGGGTACGGAGACAACCATCAGTGATGCGAACATTCATCTAGATAACGAAAACATTAACCATGATTCAGATAATTACATCGACCTAATAGCAGAAGCAGCAAATCAAAGTATGAATAATGAAACTGTAGTTGTGACAAATTTGATTGAGAGAGAAGTGGGAACGAAAGTGGATCAGGAAAGACTAAATAATTTACCCTTTCTGGTACAAGTCAAGCAACCAAAGCTTTCCCCTGATTATTTGTTAATCTTAGATTCTCCTCCAGGTGAGGATGTGCTGGATAAATTTCCAGACAAGTGTATTTACACAGACGTTGGAGGAGATGCTAGCTCTCCACTCACAGAATGCGTTCAAAAGGAGGAAAAGTCTGTTGACAATGATGAAAATTTGACGAAGACTGAAGTTTCGATAACAAAGATGGCAGCTCCAGATGAAGTTATCGAGTTGTGCCCTAGTGACGAGCCTTTGGAAGACCTGCATGAGTCTTCATTGTCAGAAGCTTCAATCAGCTCTCCGAGCAACAGTCCTTGCAACTCTGATGATAACATATTTTCAAACCCTCAGAAGTGCATTGAAACTCGAGCTCAGGTACATCATGCTTTGGATGACACGATTGATTTAGAAGTTGCAGCGATTTGTCAGAGACAGTCGCCGGAAGAAGACTCAAAACCAGACTTGATGACTGAACTACCTGACAAAGAGTTAAACGAAAGCTCCGAAATGGAAATCAGTGAAGAACTTAATGAAAGCAAGAGCTCTGATGTAGAGATTAGTGAAAGTGTCGAGTTTGATGATAGTCTTGAAGTTAACAGTACAAACATTTATGAAAATGCTGAAATTAGTAGTATTACAGAGACAGATGGTAATATGGAGGTTGACAGTGCACAGATTAATGACAGTGAGGCTGACAGAAGTACAAAGGCTGATGACAGAAAGGCTTACGACAGTACAAAGTCCGATGACAGTACAAAGTCCGACGACAGTATAAAACCAGACGACAGTACTGAAGCCGATCTAAGCACAGAATACGATGACAGTGAAATGTTAATCAGTGAAACAGTAGAAGACAGTTCCGAGAGAGATATCCAGCAGACGAGTGACACCTCTGAGAGAGATGACACCCAGCAGACAAGTGACACTTCTGAGAGAGATGATACGCAGCAGACAAGTGACAGTAATGAGACAGATGAAGCCAGTTACATGCTGGATAACGGCAAGGAAATGCATCTACATTTCCTTTCCTGCTCCTCTCCAAAGACCTCCCCTACAGAACCCGTCTTGCCTATGAAACCACCTAGGCTTCCTGACGTCGCAGAAGAGGAACTGGGGCTCTACGAGGATATGTATGATGAGTGTTATCCTCTGGAAGTCTCGTCGGACCCCAGGAGCATCGGGCCTCTAGAGTCTAACATCACCCGGAGTTTGAGGCATGAGGAGAGTAGAACTCTGCCAATTGTTCCTGAGGAGAACAGTGCCGACCTAGATACGACTGAAGGGGATCTGACTCCTCTGTACGACGATGTTGCCGAAGAGAGTGGAACTGTCAGTACCGATGAGGCAGCGAGTTCAGGTGCGTTAGACGAAGCCCACAGAGAAACCCCACATGTTCCTTTGTCAGTACCAACATCCATTGCAACGACTGTACCGTTGTTTGACGAGACATCCACTACGGTGTCCGTACCAATGTCCAGTGAGACTGTTGTGACATCCTCCCTGACGTCCTCTGTGACGTCAGTCCCGACGACCCTTCCAATGTCCATCCAAGCTGAGACAGGCAGGGCTAAAGTGAGCAGAACCATCGGGCAGTGCACTAAACAAAGGCGTCTCAGACACGACATAGGCGACCTCATCAGAAGGGAAATGAACCTGGACGACGATGTGACAGTGGAGGTGGAGGAGGAAGAGGAGGTGGAGAACCTGGTGGAGTGTGAGAACGAGAAGGAGCTGCTGTTGGTGATGAGAGCACTTCGCCAGGATCACCTCAGCGACAGCCTCAGGTGAGCAAAGAGATTTTGCATTGTTTATCAAAGCTTCCTAGGTAATCCTTTTGGTTTAGCCTCATTTCAGATCCATTTTTTCCTAGGATCGAGTCCTTCACCAGCATCAAGGCACCCTCCTTCAAGGGAGGATGCGGCCTTAATGACCCTCGTGTATCCGATAGCCTTTAAACTCAATTAACCATTGTGATCGTTTGCACTAAGTAGCTAGGTTGTGCTCCGTTAATTAGATCTAAGACCTATTAACTACACGACGGTTCTTAATGCTTCAGCCTTCCCTGAGGGTGTGTACCTTCGTACTAGTAAAGAGCTTTTGAGCCTTTCCTTTCTTGAATCTAACCTGATTACCGCTCTTTCCCCATGAATATAAAATAAGAAAGATTACTCTCCACCTATATACTAACTTCAGAGAAACTGTTGCCCCTGAAATAGAAATTAAAGTATACTCTGTGTATATTAAGAGGCGAAGCCAAGAGCTGGGACTCGACTCCAACAAATAGGCTAATTTTTACGTGTACCTAGACTGAATAAATAGAATAGTATCTCCTTCCCTGAGCCCAATTCTTTAATATCTTCAAAATAAAACAAACAAAAAAAAAAACATTTATATGTGCAAAGCAGACATTTATGAAAAATAGTTTTATTGATTTCTCTGCTTTATTTGTACGTGTAAATAGCTGCAGTTTTATTGCCTTTTTTTTTTTACATTACGTGTTTGACCTATGCATGTGTACGAACCAAAGAAAACGACTGCGTCAAGTTTTCTTTTATAACAATTTAAGGGGGAACTAAGTAGAACATAATAGCCTAGGTAATAATAATACTTGATACTGTTGGTTATGCAGTAGTAAATGTGGTGATGGGGGTAGTAGTAGTAGTGGCTGATTGTATTAGTAGCAACATCAGTGCCAGAAGAAATAAACAAAAATATTCGGGGTAGTAACCCCAATAACCCAGGCGTAACTCAAGCAAATCAAGCGGTTTCGTAAGTTGACTCGCAGAACGAGTCGTTGACCAATAAACTCACTTCTTGGGGGCTAAGTTAGCTGCTGGAGGGTGAGGTGGTTGGTGTAGGAGAGAGAATGATTGTGTGTGTGTGTTAGTTAGTTACCATTTTGTCCTAGGCACATGTCAATTAGACACTTGGCCTGTTGTATATAAGAGTGTGTGTGTGTGTGTGTGTGTGTGTGTGTGTGTGTGTGTGTGTGTGTGTGTGTGTGTGTGTGTGTGAGTGTGTGTGAGTGTGTGTGAGAGAGAATTTTGTGTGTGGGTGTGTATTCACCTATTTGTGGTTGCAGGGGTCGATTCATTGTGTGTGTGATATAAACAACCTCTTCAGATTCTTTTGGCTCATCCTACACTTGTTCTCTTTTTTTTTTCCAACTTTTATCATCTCTAATTTTATTTTCGATTTTATTTTAATGGCTTCTCTCTTGATTTTAATTACCTTCTTCACTGTTTCTTTTCCCATGATTTTCTTTTATCCTCCTTTCTGTTTCTCATTTTTTTCTATGTTCCATCCATATTGTTATTTTTAATTATATCAACCCTAAGGATAATTTCTTTTAGCTAATCTGTAGCGCAATGGTTAGAATTGTCGTCTCACAATCGAAATGCCCTGGGTTCGATTCCTGGAAGTGGTGGGCACACTTCCCCTAATCCTCTAACCGCTAATTAGCGGAACTAACTTTTTGTCAGCGGATTAGCGTTTCTGCTAACTTCGGAAACCGTTAGCTGACCAATTACCTTCCACTAAATAAAGTTCCGCTAACTTTGAGTCCGCTAAAAAAATCATACGTCGTTGGTAGTGGGAAAGCAATGCCTTTTCAGCAGCGCATGTGTTCGTTCCTGTCTGTTGTGGGCGTTTCTTCAACAGTCAGTCAGGCACGCTATTGGCTGACTACGTGTAAACGTGACTTATCAACGCCGCAGCAGCAGCATTGTTACAATCTTAGTGTCAGCGATCACCTGGGTGCGTTTTCACTTATCGTTAAGAACAGGGGAGACGTTTCTGTTCCGCATGAGGGTGTTTTTGAGGCGTCTGCAGCGGCTGTGGTTGAAGCAGAGGCCGCTCAGGCTGAGGGCCAGGAGTCACAGAACTTGTGGCCCCACCTATGAAGAACGCCAATATTTTGTATTTCCTGTGTGTGTCATGTGCCAGCCCAAGGAGACCATCAAGAAGGGACAACTTGAAGTCGCATGTTAAGAGGAAACGCCCAATGAGTAACTGGAACTAATAAAAAAAAGTCAAATAAACTAACTCAATCTGTTCGGGTGCTATGAGGCTTCAGTACAGCCACAAGTGTGTCCTTGTCGGTCGCTAGCTTTACATCACTAAATTAAACAATCGCTATTTTCGCACTAGCGGAACTTGATCATCACATGACCTTGACATTCTATATCTTATTAGGAAGCTCTCCAGGTCTGTTCTAAAAATCTTAAAAGTAAAAGACCAAAAAACTAAACTGAATCTGAATTCATGTGAAAAAGTTAGCTTCCGCTAATTTTTTCGTCCGTTTAGCATTAGCGGAACTAATTTTTTAGTTAGCGGATTAGCGGTTAGGGAAGCTAACTTTTCGGTTAGCTGTGCCCATCACTGATTCCTGGGCAAGGTCGAACGTGAAGTTCCTCACAAATGTTGGCCCTGTTCACCTTGTAGTAAAATAGTTACTTGAAATGACTGTTGTGGGTTGCTTACTTTGTCAGTGCAAGTCTAGGGGTTCCTCTAGTACTCGTTATGTTATTTTCCTTCTTCACAGCATGCAGTAACACTACACAGAATACAATAACACCTCACAGTCTACAGTAACACTTCACAGTATACATTAACACTGTAAAACATACAATAACACCATACAACATGCAGTAACATCACACAGCAAACAACACTGCGCAACAAATAGCAGCACGTAATGACAACCCACAGCATACAATAACAACCCACAGCATAGAATTAAACCACACAACATACAATAACACAACATACAATAGCGATACAAAACATACAATAACCCCACGCATACAATAACACCACACTACTATAACCACACACACACAGTATCGTAAAACATACCATAAAACCACACAACACGTAATGACACCACAATAACAACATTCACTACTGCCACACAACACAAAATAACACCACATAACACACAGTAACATCACATAACACTCCGTGAACCATAGCATGTGCAGAAAAATACACAAGCACCAGTCAGCAACAGATTTTAAAGAACAATTTAAATACCCAATTAAATATCACAGTTTAAATGAGGAAGTTAAAACACTTGGTTGAGTTTCTGACAGCGTTAAATGTTGTAGTTTTTATGGACGGAAATAAACATTTAATGTTTTAATAATGGTATTAAATATCATAGGTAAGAAAATTACTGCTGAAAATTTGAAGTCGAACAGAAGAAGCATTCTCCTGGTATGGCACGGGTCCCAGTGACATTTTTGTTTTTTGGGTAATTTTAATATATTGACAATTCTGTCCATTCATCAATTTAATGGCTACTGTCCTGTCCGTTAAATGCTGAAGGCGTTGACAAGAGGGAACTCCATTAGATTTAACGTGATATACACCATTTTACACGTAAAATTGACACATCTGAACCTGTGCAGTCGAGTTTTACACACACTGCTGTCGTCGGACTAAGAGGAAACTTTTTTTCCGTTTAATCTACGCTCCTGAAGGTTTTGGAAGTTATCGAAACCATTCCAGGATGCTGGGAATGGGTTCTACAACTGGTCATGGGGCATATGCTAATTGTTCTAAGAATTTCGCCTTAGTTACTGTACACAAGCGCTGAAGATTTTGAAGCCGGTCAGATGAAGCCTCGTCTTATGAGAGAAATAAACATTTTGGAGGAAGGAAAATAGATCTGGCAACTTAGATATCCCCCTTCAGGGATATTTTATAATACATTCCTTAATCTACCACTCTGCAAAGAACTTTATATCTTTTCGTGGCCTCTTGTTCTCCCTGTCGCCTGTGTTATGAAATGCACCTAATATGTTAATTCGTATTCTTTTTAATCTTGTATTATCTTGAGTACTTTTTTTCCGCTAAACCCACTTGAGTCATTCAGTGCAAGATGTGGTGGAGATTGATCCTCCGTGTGCTGAGAGCCAGACAGACACGCTTCTTATTTGTACTCGCCTAGATGTTCACCCTCTCACCCAGAGAATGTATAATGCATTCAGTTTCTATTAGTAGCTCTTTCTTTTATAGTTCTGGTAGCTGTGTTGAATTGCCCTTGTTTCAGTCTTTACTGTTCGTGAAGCTTTGTTTTGGTAGTGATGCTGGTGAACCTTCTGGTGGTGCTGTGGCTGGTGAACCTTCTGGTGGTGCTGTAGTTGGTGAACCTTGTGGTGGTGCCGTATCTGGTGAGAGCAGCCTCTGGCGATGTGATGCTGCTGCTCCTGCTCCTGCTGCAGGTTGGACTGCTGGCGCTATAGCTACAGCTTTTGCTGTTGAGGCTAACGTTACTGCAACTTTATTTTTAATATTTCCTCTCGCTTGTTTCAGTCTTTGTTTTCAGCCATTTCACGTTCGTCTGTTGACCTTTACATTCTCACTGTTACTATCTGTATGATGCATTCTGGTTTTTGTATAATTTCTGTTGGCTATAACACTATCTGAACCAAAACTGAATTTAAATATTTTGTTGGATAAGCTTTGCCTAGGTGCAAGATTTTAATCAATAGTTTATGCAAATATTAAAAAAATAGGCTATGCAAAATCGTACTGCGCTAGGCTGCTGCCGCCAGACAAGACGATGGTGGACTTTTTTTTTTTTTTAAGGTTTCTGTAGGCGACGCACTATTGGTTCTTCTTGACAGTGAGAAGGGTCCACACATTTCCAAGAAACGGGTTTGGGGTTCTTAAATGTATCCATTTTCCTTGTGAATGTTTTTTTTCGTGGTTTCGTAAAAAAGATTTAAAACTTTTATACGTCTCTGCAAAGGCTGTTGGGGTGATCCCCAGACCAGAA